AAAATTTAGTCCTATAATCATGAAATCACATAATGAAAGAAACAAAAAATCTAAAATGAATTTTAAAAGCAATTACAACAATAAAATCACATTCTAAAAGAAACATGAATCTCAAATAAAATCTAAAATAAGAAATCAAAATTGTCGTCAACGCTCAGCATTCAAGATCTGCAATAGAGACTTTGCTCGCCGGAGCTTCGGAAATCGTCAATCAACAAAAAAGCTCAAATCATCGCCTCATATACTTTCACCATATCGGGCCAACAAAAAAGGAAGATGAAGAGCCAAAGAGAAAACAGATCTGCTGCCCTCCTTGTTAGATTTTCTACCCTCCTTGCTAGATCTATTGTCGTCCTTGCCGGATCTGTTGGCCCGCCCCACCCCAGGTGTGCTTGTGCTCCACCACAGAGAGAGGAGAGAAGAAGAGTAGAAGAAGAAAATAGAAGATGAAGACGAGAAGAAAATCAAAGAGAAGATGAAGCCCCGCCACAGACATGCAAGAGAAGATGAGAGAAGGAGATGATGAAGATGAGAAGAAATTATAGAAGAGGATGAAGAGATCGTAGAGAGTTTGAGGATGAAGAAAAGAGAAATGGGGGAGAGTAAAATTCTAAAGGGAAAAAGAGACAATTACTCTTGGTTTAGTTGCCATTTAGGGAAACGGGAAGTTAGTTTTAGGACAACCCAAAAAAGAAAGTGGGAAGTTAATTTTAGGACGGAGGGAGTATTAGACAAGACAAACTAAAAGGGCAGGATATACCTTTCTAGTTCACCTTCACTGAAAACATTAGCATAGAGTAGGCTTGATTACCATACTTGTGCTTTTTATATGATCTAATTGTTATGCATGACTTGATTATGCTTTAAGGTTGCATCGGAAATCATTTTCTGTTCAAGATAACTACCTCTTTGCAAGTGCACAATTATGTCTTCTAGGTACGCTCACTATTTTTTTAATTATCATACAATGCATTATGGCTTTATTGCTAAGAATTTTTTTATATCCTTTGGTGTTTATTATTTAGTAAATTACTACACGTTAAATGTTTTGTATATGATTTTTAAATTATAATGATTGAGGTAGTACTTATCATACTTTTAAAATTGAGAAGCTAATCAATTTTTTTTCAATTTAATCAGAATGAATAACGATAGAAGTTGGATGAATTGGGAGACATATAGCTGTAGAACAAAGCCAGAATACATAAATGGGGTAAAAGATTTTTTGGATTTTGCATTTGCTCATGCATCAAAAGAAGGAAAGATAAGATGTCCTTGCATAAATTGTGACAATTATAACCATCAAAATAGAAAAACTGTTCTCTTTCATTTGTTAAATGATGGAATAGTTAGAAGTTATAATCCATGGGATTTTCACGGTGAAAAGTCTACGCATGAAGAAAATTGTAATAATAGTGGAGTTGAAACAACAGAAGGCAATAACCTAAATTCTAAACAGCCTACAATAGAAGATGCTAATGAAACATATGCCATGCTACATGACATGACATATACTAGAGCATTTAACATAGTGAATGAACTTGAAAGGTTAAGTGATCCAGAGATTAGTGAGTCAACAGAGTTGCTTGAGAAATTTGGTAAGCTTGTTAGGGACATTGAGAAAGAACTATATCCAGGTTGTGAAAAAATTTCAAAGCTTGAATTTATAGTTCATCTTCTCCATATCAAGTGTCTATGTGGATAGAGTGACAAATCATTGACCATGATATTGGAGCTTCTTAAAAATGCTTTTGACTTTGACGATACTTTTCCAAAAAATGCATATGAAGCCAAAAAATACACACGCCAACTTGGACTTAACTACGTAAAAATTGATGCTTGCCAAAATGATTGCATACTTTATTGGAAAGAATATGCAAATTTTGATAAATGCCCAAAGTGTGCTCATCCTAGGTGGAAAGAAAAGAGGGAAGTTTGTGATGATATTGATGATGAGAATAAAAAAGGAGGAAAATCATCTAATGTACCTTACAAGATATTACGCTACTTTCCCCTTATACCTAGGCTGCAAAGGTTGTTTATGTCTGGTAAAACAGCATTTGAAATGAGGTGGCACAAGGAAAAACGTTTGAATGATGGGATTTTACGTCATCCAGCGGATGCTATGGCTTGGAAGACATTTGATAAATCATTTCCTTATTTTGCTTCAGATGCTCGGAATGTGAGGTTGGGTCTATGCACCGATGGTTTTACTCCTTATGCTAATTTAAACTCAACTTATAGCATTTGGCCTGTATTTTTAGTTCCCTACAACTTACCACCTTGGATGTGTATGAAGAGGCCATATACGATGTTGAATATGATAATTCCGGGTAAAAAGTCTCCCGGAGCTGATATTGATGTTTGTTTACAACCTTTGATTGATGAGCTTAAATTGTTATGGGAAGATGGGGTAAATACCTATGATGCTTACAAAGATGAATACTTTAATTTACATGCCTCTTTAAAGTGGACAATAAATGATTTTCCCGCTTATGGAAATTTATCTGGCTGGAGTGTTAAAGGTCGCCTCGCTTGCCCTCTCTGTAATAAAGATACAAGGTCACAACATTTGTCACATTGGAGCAAAGAATTCTATATGGGCCATCGAAGATATTTAGATGCTAATCATAGGTGGAGATTTGATAAGAAATCTTTTGATGGAACTGTAGAAATGGATCCTCTTCCTAAGCCATTGTCTGGGGATGATGTGCTTGACCAAATTGGTGATAGAGAGAACTTTATGTTTGGTAAAACTCCAGGGAAGAGGAAGAGAACAAAGCCTAAGTTAATTTATAATTGGGAGAAGAAAAGTATATTCTTTCAATTACCATATTGGAGCAAAAACTTGGTTCGTCATAACCTAGATGTAATGCATATAGAGAAAAATATATGTGAAAGCATATTAGGTACTCTGATGAATATACCAGGAAAGACCAAGGATAATTTAAAATCTCGCTTGGATTTGGTACAATTGGGAATAAAAAACAGCTTACACCCTAAGAAGGTGGGAGATAAATATGAAATTCCTAAAGCCAAATTTGATTTGACTTTGTTAGAAAGAAAAAGTGTTTGTAGTTTCCTAGCCGATCTAAAGGTTCCAGATGGATATTTTTCGAATATTAGTCGATGTGTGAAAGTTAGCGAGGGAAAATTCATAGGAACCTTAAAGAGTCATGGCTATCATGTCTTTATTCAAGATTTGCTGCCGCCTACATTTCGTGGAATATTGGATAAAGATGTGTATGAACCTTTTGTAGAGTTGTCCTTATTTTTCAAATACTTGTGCTCCAAGACCTTGAAGGTTGATGTTCTAGAGCAGCAAGAGAAGAGTATTGCTATAACTCTATGTAAGCTCGAGCGAGTCTTTGTTCCATCTTTCTTTGACATAATGGTACACTTAGCAATTCATCTAGCTACTAAAGCTAAGCTTGCAGGTCCAGTTCAATATCGTTGGATGTACCCATTCGAGAGGTATCATTATCCGTTATTATGTTTTTTCATAAAACTTAACATTAATTTGTAGGAACTTATTTATTTATTATATCATATTTGGCTTATGACTAGGCTTATGCACACATTGAAAGAATTTGTTCGTAATAAAGCTCAACCTGAAGGTTCAATAGCCGAAGCATATATTGCAGACGAATGTCTTACTTTCTGCTCGAGGTATTTGCATAGGGCTGAGACAAGATTTAACCGCCTTGAAAGGAATGAGGATGGTGGTAAAACACAGCATCAAGTCATATCAGTTTTCTCAAAATTTGGAAAAACTATTGGGCATGGCGTTGTCAAATCATTATCTTTTGAAGATTGGGAACGTGCTCATCTTTATGTGCTAAGGAACTGTGAGGAAGTTCATCCTTTCACTGAGTAAGGAATCTTTAATAAAACTACATATTATAGGTATAATATGTATAAACTGAATTGGATTATGATTGTAAAAAGATAAAATTTTATGATCTACTTTTAGGGAGTACGAAAGTAAAAATCCACATCCATCTCGTTCATCTAGTTTCCCGGAGTGGTTCGAAAGTCGAGTAAGTCTACTTTTTAACTATGCATAGTGTACAGAACTAATCAATAAAATCTCTCTAAAATTATTAATATAATTTTTTATTTTCTTTGCTTTTCAAGATTACTCAGTTATGGAATCAACATGATAAAAAAGGAAGTTATGATCTACTAGTTTTGGCACAACGTCCTTTGAAAAGGGTTATAAGTTACAGTGGATGCATTGTGAATGGATTTAGATTTCATTCAAAAGCACGAGGAATGTCTCTTACCACACAAAATTAAGGTGTCATGGTAAAGGGTGATGTGCATAGTGGTGGGAAAGATTTCTATGGTGTGCTAAATGAGGTGGTCGAACTTGAGTATGATAGTAAACACAAGGTGGTTCTATTTAAATGTGAGTGGTATGATGTGTTTGCTGAAAATCTTGGAATAAAAGCAGACACATTTGGCATAAATTCGGTTAATATTAGTCGATATCTTAAAACGAATGAGCCTTATGTCTTAGCTTCTCAAGTGCAACAAGTGTACTATGTGAATGATCATGCACATCGAAATTGGCGAGTTGTTTTGAAAACAAATCCACATAGCTTTTACGATGTACCTGAAGAAGATGAAGAAGACACATTTTTCATAGAACCATCTGTGGACACTGAAGATGCATATATCCCGACGGATTCTCAAAGAATAACATCATTAGTCAGGGATGATGTGGATGCTATTGTAGTGGATGCCAATGCTATGACTCAACAGAAGCAACGTCACCACAAGAAACAAAAAATAGTAGGTCCTAATGATGAGAGTGGCTCCAGCTCAAGCTCAAGTGATGAAGATGATTTTCCACTTTTTTTAAATGAAGTAGATTTTGAGTGATTAATTATACATTTATTAGCTTTTTAAAATTATTAGTATAACATTAGAAAACGAATATAAGTATTTTGTTCTTTTCGATAAGTTCAGTTAGTTGTGATACTGAATTTAAGCTTTATGTGTTGTGTGTTTTTATGTTAGATTGTGCCTACTGCATACTATTTTGAACAGCATTATTTCACGTTTTTGCTTGTGTGCTCGTGTAATATCACAGTAAATTGTTCATTTATGTAATAAATATAAGTATACTAATATGTTTTTGGTTTAGAGAACGTATGTATATCACAGGTGATAGCTTGAGAAGTAAAGCAAGATCTAACAAAAATCGGATGTCATCCAAGGATATCTTTACCATGCGGAAGACAACAGATTATGAAAGGCAAAGGGAACTCAATATTGAAAGAAACAATAAGAGGTTTCAGGAACTTGGGATACCTGCGTTAGGTTCATCATTGAAAAGAGTCAAAGCAAATGTTATTGAGAATAATGTTGTTGATGGGGATGATGAGTATGTTCCAACATACGAGGAGAGAATGCATGCTAAAGATGATGAGAGTATTGCCTTAAAGAAAAACAGCACATTGAAGACTTCATTTAAAAACCCAATCTCTCGACAAACCTCAAGTTCTAAGCCTCATACTCAAATGATCTTTTCTGGTAAGTGAACTACAGATATATTAATTCAAAGTATTTTACCTTGACAGTTAGTGATATATAATTTTTTTTGATTGATATTAGATGAAATGTTTGAAGCCTCTTCGAATCCGGAAATGACCAACCTTACAACAAGCATGGGGCATATTACAAGAGGAAGTATGCCACTTTCTAATAAAATTTGTGTTACGCTATATGTTGGTTTGACTTTATAAAAATATTCTTCCCTTGTTGTCACTAGAAGAAACATGTGTGTCTGGAGTAGAAAGGCTTAACCAACATCGCATTCATGGATATAATTTGAATGGAGGTGCATCTGAAAGACAAGCTTCAATAACAAGATCAACCACTTCACAGAATGATTTTGTTAGAGTCCATGAAAGAGGTAATTGTTCATTCAATATAATTTTATTCTAGTCGTATTGTTATTAGAGCAAGTATGCTATTTTCTAATAAAAAAATTCATTTCACTATATATATGTTGGCTTGATTAGTAAAAATACATTGTTTATTCTCTTGCAATTTATTAGAAGAAACAGGTATGTTTGAAGTAGAAAGCCTTAACCAACATCATACTCATGGAAGTAATTTCGATGGAGGTGCATTTGAAAGACAAGCACCACCAACAAGATCAACCACTTCACAGAGAGATTTTCTCAGGGTCCATGAAAGAAGTAGTGGTCTCTCACGGTACATTTTCTCAGGGTACATTTCTAGAACAGATTATTTCGAAAATGAGACCAAGCTCCTCTCCGTTTTGTCCCAATTACTCTGGTTAGTGTCATTTAACTCTTTTGTATATTTCCCATAGATATCTGATCATGCCTTTAGCTCTGGTTGCTATGGTCATTTTAAACACTATTTAATGTCTTATACGTGCCCTGCTTACTAGATTATATCTTTATTAATTTTATTTTTTAATATGCAGATCAAGGGTGAATATGAAAGATGTCATTCAGTTTCTATGACTTTTGGTGGAATTACATTCGAGATAGATGTGACAAGATAAAATGAAAAGATGAAGTTTAAATGTTAAGCTTTTATGATACTATAAAAATTTTGTCATGTTTAGTACTATATTTATTTTATGTCAAAACCCTATTATATTAACAATTGTGAACCTTTGATAGTTTGGGATTGAATTATGAGTAGCATATATGTTTTGTTTTTATTATTATTTTACATCACTTTGCATATATTATTAAATGTAAAATGTATGTACAATACAAATATATGTGTGTGTGTGTGTGTGTCAGTGTGTGTATGTATATATATGTGTATATATATATATATATATATATATATATATATATATATATATATATATATATATATATATATATATATATGTATGTATGTATATATATATATATATATATTAATTTATTAATTCTTACTAATATTAGGTTTGCCACAAAAAAGTGTTAATTGTAGCAATTAATATTTGCTACTAAACATGGATTTATGTGGCAAAGTATAATTTGTGGCATCATAAATTTGCTACTAAATATGACTTTTTGTAGCAAATAATAAATTGTGGCAACTAAAATATGCCACTAAACATGACCTTTTGGGGCAAATATTTATTAGTGGCAAATCATAATTTGCCACAAAAACTATAATTTTTGTGGCAAATTTAAATTTACCACAAATACCTTTTGTAACGGGGTATCTGTTGCAACCTTGTGGCAAATTCTAAAATTGCTACAAATAACTATTGTGGCTAATTTTTTATGTTTTATGTCAAAATTTGGTGCCACAAAATGTCAAATTTTTTGTAGTGCAAAATCCACCACCTGGAAGCTTTCAATTCAACTAAACTACACAAAATACTCAAAACACCAGCCCCATTCAACCCCTAAATTCCACCACCCACATAATCCAATCCCTAAATACCCACTTAGACATTCTCCCCCAACCCTCTAAAGACATCATGCAAACCCTTGCATGAGAAATCTTCAACATCAACAAAATAGGTAACAAGTCTTGCTCATCAGCATTCAGAGATGACACAGGTATTAAATTATACCCCAAAATACTCTGTCACTTACCTCTCGGATGAAGAAGCCTCCCATCCAAACAAAAACTTCATTCCTGAAAATCACATTAACTCCACACCCACAGATACAGAGGAACCACAAAATCAAGAACAACTAGATGATGACAACCACGCCAGCTCAAGGGAAGAAGGCTTCATAGTGGTCACTACAAGAAAATAAAAAAGAATGCAGGAGAAACATAGCTCAATCAGTTCACAATGGTCAGTATCCCAATGAATTGTCTCTTTTGGAATATTTGTGGGATACCCTCAAGCTCCAGAGGCTATCCAAAATTATAAAGGAACACAAAGTAAACCTCAATGCAATCATTGAACCAAAAATCCAACCCACCAAAATCACCAAATTTCAACTAGAGTAGGGTTTCACAAACTCTGTACATACCTCCAGCAACAGAATTTGGATGATGTGGAATGATTCCCACTTCAACCTCATCTCTCATAGTGATAAAGGCCATATTCTTAACATCAAGTTACAAGAATGATCAACAAAATTCAGCTCACTATAAGTGGAGTCTATGGTAAACATACAAAAGAAGAAAGAATACAATTATGGGAGAACATCATAGCTCATAGCAAGGTGGTAAACTACCCTTAGATTGTCGGAGGTGATTTCAGCTATATTTTCTCTATTGAGCACCATAAAGGGAAAAGCTCTCCCTGCCTACAGAGCATGGCCGACTTTGACCAGGGCATCATGTAAAGTGGACTCCTAGATTCTCCATTCACTGGAAACCCCTACAGTTGGACTCAACTTAGATCCTTGGCAAGAATCTAGAGGAGATTAGATAGGATTTTTGTGAACAACCAGACAACTCGAGCAACTAACCAGACATTTTAAGGACTCGAATAAATCAACTTTTAGCAACAGCTTTTCTAAATTCGGAGAGATGGAAAAAAGTCTTCAAGAAGCCGAAACTAATTTTGATGGCAATCCTAGTGCAGAAAACAAAAGCATACTCCACCTTACAAGAGCACTACACACCCAATCTATCAATAATGATTTAGCTACTGAAAACAGAAATATAGCATCAAATGGTTTAAAGAAGGAGACTATAATTCATCTTTCTTTCATAACACAGTGAAGGAAAAGAGAATATTCTAAAAAAAAATTGAGAGAATCAAATCCTCTTAAGGACATTTGTTGGAAGAAAATAACCTTATGATTGAAGAAGCACACTACTTCTACACCCAGCTATTCTCCTAGAAAAAAAGTGAAAAAGCTAAAGCATTTACTGGTAACATTCCAACCCTAATATCCTCATAAGAGAACCACCCTCTCACTACTCTCCCCAATGAAGAGGAAGTCAATGAAGGTATATGGAACTTGAACTCTACCAGTGTTGCTGGACCTCATGGCTATACAGGGGAATTCTCTGGAAGCTGCTAGAACATAATCAAATAGGATGTCACCAATGTTGTCCAGGAATACTTTATGGGAATCAAAATTCCTCACTCCATGGCCTATTCAAACATCATCCTTATATCCAAAAAAATTACAAGGTTGGTACAAAAAACTACTTTCTCAAAGTGGTAAGATGATTCTCATAAAGCATGTACTCAGTGTTATTCCTCTACACATACTGGGATGCTCGAAACTACCAAAAAGTGTAATTCTAAGTGTTTGCAGGAAAATGAGCAACTTCCTTTGCAGAAGCAAGAAAGGAAAACTCAACTACCACTGGACTAAATGGGACACCATCTACCTACCTAAGGAGGAGGATGGACTAGAATTCACAAGTTTGGAAACTCTCCAAAGATCTTATGAGCTGAAAATGTGGTGGACATACACATCCAACAACTCTATCTGGTCCCTTTTTATGCATTAAAGGTACCCTAGATGCTTTTCCACCCCCAAATCGATAGACTCTGCTACATTGAAAAGGATCTATCACACAAATGATAGTATTGATGATATCCTAAGCATTGATGAGCAAAATCACCTCTCCTGGAGCAATGGTTTGACAGGCTTCAATTTACGGCTTGCTAATGAGAGAAAAATACTCCTATCACCTTTCTCAAGAATTTCTGAAACCAAAAAAATACCCTAAAGTCTACTTTTTTCTTTGGAGACTTTACAATCACACTCTCCCCTTCCCCAAGTAGCTAACAAAATTCAAAGTTTGTCTCCCCTCTATTTGTTTTCTTTACAGGAACAGTGAAGATACAACTAATCACACACTCAAAGATTGTATTTTCGGCAAGGCAATTTGGAACAAGTCTGAATCCCTCTTCTCCATCACAAGAACAGCAACACATGAAATAAGAGCTTACCTCATGGCATGCATGGTGGCAACAAACAGAATCTTCAAACCCCAATAACACTACTAAGATAGTCATGCCAGGCATAATCACCAATGAAATTTGGAAAGAAAGAAATCACGGGAATCCATGAGTAAGGTCAGAAATCATCTTACCAAATCACTTAAATGATTTGGAAGAAACTCATCGAATGGGCATCAGTTAAAGATAAAAGGAAACTAAGGTTCAACCAATAAGACTTACCAATCATTCACACACCGGCAATTAAAATTCTCAGATGGAAAGGTGAAGAAGGAGTGATCCATAGACGTTGCAACAAGAGATGGATTGATGGCTAGAAGAGCAATTCTACAATCAAAAACAGGTGAATTCATCGTCGCCAATAGCTTGATCGTCAAAGGAAGGAATCCGTTGGAAGGAGAAGCAGAAGCGGCGGAAAATGGGAATAACGTGGGTGGCAAAATTTTAGAGAGGACACATTCATCTCATGATGGATTCAAAAACCATAGTTAACGAAGTCAACAACAATCAATGCTCAAAAAGAAATTTACCCATCATTCAATCAATTCTCGAGACCAACAAAGGAACAATACACCACACATATCGAGAGGAAAACTCAGCAGCTCATAACCTTGCCAGACATGCACTACACAACAATATTTTTAGAGTACAATAGGTTCGATTTACTCCCAAAATCTTTTAAGGGAGCTACCATTTATGACCTTTCTTGTATCAATTTCCGTATTCTCTAATCATCAATAAACATTTCTTTTCATATATACATGTGTGTGTGTATGTCATCTTATCATAAATTTTCATTTTTTAAAATTTTGTATCAAATTAAACTAAGAGTCCTTTTTTAGGTCGGAGTAAGTAGAAATTAATTTAACTTGAAATGGATAAATAGGGAGTAGATCTTTTTTGCAGGATATACTATTTTGAAGAGAAAAATAATTCAGTCTTATCTAAATCAGTGTTTTGAAAACCGGACCGGACCGGCCGGTCCAACCGGTCGACCCGAGAACCGGCAACATATCCAGTCCGGTTCACTAAAGAAACCCGCATCCCATTTGACCCGCCCAAACCCGCCGAACCCGGTAACCCAGGTTGACCCGGCCGGTTCCCAAGTTTGAGATTAAATCTATATTTTCTTAAATTTTAACCTTTAAAAAAGGAGGGCATAACTGGGAATCGATCCCAACACCTTTCATACTTCAGTGCAAGTTGCCCGCCAAGTGAGCTACCCAATCTTTGTGCAAAGTCTAGGTATCAATCATATCTATTTATGGTTTTAAAAAAGGTTCATACAAAATAAACATGTAGTTTTTTTGTGCATATGTGAATTTGTATTTATGAACTTTTAAAATAGTTTTTAAAAATTGAGAATTATTTAATTTTTATTTGAAAATAAATATACTCTGTATATTTTATAATTAAAAAATTGTTGTCTTTAAAAATCAAGTAATATTTATTCATTATAATTTAATATGCTATATTTTTTATTTTGCAATCATTTTAATCAAATAAATATAAACTTTAAAATGTCATATGTATATAAGAATAAAATATCTAGCCTTTAATTTTTGAAAATATGAGTACCTCCTTATTATTTGTTAGACCAGCGTGTCTATTGGGTAAGAATCATTAAAGCATATTTATATGCTAACCCCATCATTTTCGGGAGTCACTGTCTTCAGCAGGAACAGAAGGG